TATCATTGCGTAGCAAAAGATGATGACTGCTTCACAAATCTGGCCAGCACGATTAGTCGATCTGTACTTCCAAGCACATAAAGTGTACAGGGGTAACTGTATCTCTGGTTCTCTTGTATGAACATGTTAAACTGCTGATAAAACGATTGAAAAACTTTTGTATTTTTATTAAGATACTGAATATTGTATTTGAATACTTTAATACCCTCACTCGCGAAATTAATACACATTTTTTGTGGGAAAACTTTTTCTTGCCATTCTTCAAAGGTTAAAGAACATGAGGTTCTGTTTGCCAATGACTTTCGAGACTTCGCGGTTTGTCTCTAAATGTCCACATTATCCTCTGATATTGTTACAGTTTTTGACATCCGCGCGGGTGACATTATCTTCAGTATGAACACTTTCTGGATGAGGACTTTTCACGATGCTCATCGTGACTTTGATCTGTCGCATCGCAATATCCTTTTGGAATGAAGTTTCCCACTTGTCTGTCATCCCCGACATTTCGTGAGTTTTCAGAGATTGTAACAGCTGCACTCTGAAATGCATTCTTGCGGTTGGATTGCACTTGCCTGTTTTTTTGCTTATTTTTTATTGTTTTTTATATTGCTAAAATAAGGCACATACGCGTGTATGAGTATATCGTATATTTAAATAATTTTTATTCGATCCAGTGGCTAGCATAGGAAACTTTACTTATTGTGCTGTTTGAACAGGACTACTAAAACGTTCATCTTTTTTTGGTAAAATACAATTTGGTATGTAGGTAGATGGGTCCTCTCCCATTCGTCATCATCTTGACGCTGTGAGATCGATCATAGAGTTACTTCTTGTTCGAGTTCCTTAAGTTCAGTGTTGTTAATTTCGCGTATCCTGTAGTTTCTACTACTGCCAAACAGAAAGTAGTAGTATTCAATTCACCGATTAGTGCGCTGCAATTATTCCCATCTACTAATCTGCCGGTACGTAGCTGGCATTATTGTGATATGGCAAATATAATATTAACTTTGAAAATTGACTTGCTCTTTGCCATTAGTTCTAACAGCATTATTTTAACAGATAAATTTTTTTACCTTCCCTATGGAAAAGACGTTTTGGTCATTTTTTTGTCCATCTTGCATCTGAAACTTTTGTCTTTTTCTTTTCAGTTACCATCTTTATTTCAACGATTAGATGACAATGTTTCTGTATACCTTCTCTGTCGATTAATGCTGACGGAGACGTTCAGTTCCACTTCTTTGTCATTAGTTTCAGTTTTTATTGAAAGTTTCATTTTTTTGCTTGTATAATTGTTTTCATAATGCCTTTTTAAATTTAGGCGAAGTTGAACTTGCATACTTTCATACCAAGCGGTTGGTCTTGGCTGGAGTGCCAGAACAAGATATCGCAATCATATCGCCATATAATTTTCAGGTGTGTTACCTTTCTAATAATATTTCTTCGAAGCTAATGGCTTTTTAAGTAGTTTCTAAATTTGTCCTGGACTTATTTGCTTTGCATTATTGTCATATTCAATCACAGTATTGATGTAGATAATCTGGGATACATGTCATGTTGGCATACGAGCCCACTTTTTAATATTTTGTGAAAACTGTGGAAACAGCAAGCTCCTGAAACATTGCTTTTGACGGGAAAACGTTTCTGCTTACGTTGTAGCGATTGGCTGTCCCAGTCTTTGGATCAATTACACATTGTTGCCTTGAAAACGAGTCTATTTTGATTCGATACATTGGCGTTAATTTGAATAGAGTCTGTCTGGCACAAAGTTCCATTGAAGAAGTGGATATAAGCTTGGCAAAGAATAAGAATATAAAAATATTTATATCAGCAATTGAGAAAAGATTCGTCTCCCATACTTTCTGACGAAGGGTTAGCTTTTCATATTTCGCTACAACAAAAGCAGTTGAAGGATATAAATCACTAAAGCAGTTTGATAGCGATCGCTCGGTAGAAAACAGAAGTGTAATATTCAGAGTTGACTACGTAAGCTCTTAATGGGCGTTATTACGCTGCCTTTTTCTGTTATGGCATCAATCTGGACAAGCTGCATGCTTTGTTTCTAGAATGAGGACAGTTTTCAGATTTGCAGGGTTAATTCACGATTAAGTCCTTCTTATGAATAACTGTAGAAAATCATCATGTAGGGAAACGTGTCTGACTAATTGTATCGCGGTACAGTGAAATCTACTAAACATATAATGGCGGATTATTTTGTTTCGGCTAACATCGAGTACCTCAGGCGACGCAGCTACGTCACAGAGATAAGACAAGTTGTTCAGTCACTTTCTGTCATCGCTTATCCTTTTGGGTCGCTGGCCAACATTTGCTCCTTAAAATAGGCTTAGTCTCAGAAACAGTGCCGTATTTTCGATGACATCCCATGAACGGGCTTGAAGATAAAGCATTTAGCATCTGTTTTGCTCCCTTTCCGCACTCATCGTAGTACTCATTTTGATCGTGCCGTTGATCTCAGTCGTCCACCAGTAATTATCGGTGTTTAATTACCATTGGAAAAAATGTGCAGAGAACATCAACAAGGAAATGCGAAAATTCCAAACCCGTGCTATCGATCTGAAACAAGAATATCGCTTGATGATTGTGCGAACAATACCAGTGGTCATGTCTGCAAATGATGTTCACTGCGAAATTAATAAGCACGAGCTTGCTGAAGGTCACTGAAAAGCTATAATGGAAGTGTCAGGAAGCTGCTGTATCAGGTACAGTCAGAATAATCTGAAAAATTGTGAATATAACAAATTTGCAGCATGCCGCAACTGATTCTATTCTTATTCTTTGACTGTTATCAAAATATCCTCTGTGTGAAAAAATATGCAATTAAATAGTAAAGTTTTTTGATTTATTGTACTTAATATATTTAAAAACGTACATGATTTCGTGATGCGTAAGGTGATATAATCTTTAGGTAGGTCACAAACGGGAAGACAACGCATATAATGTTCTTTAATTAGGGATATCTGACGTTTCGGACCAAGCTTTGTCCGTCTTCAGAGTACAATGACAAAAGGCACTTAATCTTTTCATTCGGGTCTGGTTGACCCGCATGATTAATGGTGCCGTGTTTGCTTTCTAGTCTTAAGCCGTTTGCTGTCCATGTGTCGCTGATGTCTGTTCCAATTGCACGATTGATGCAGTTGGTTGCTCGGATCACTAACGCTTCCTTGACTTTATGGGACAAATATATTGTTGTTACCGCGCGACACCTTTTATTCTGTCCCACGATATGTTGTGTTGGTGCGTAATAGCATGTTCCACATTGGCAGAATTTTTTATACCTTCTGCCTTTATAAATCCACGGTTTTTCGTCTGTCTCCGACCTCTACCGACTTGCTGTTGACCCCTTTCTCTAGCACCAGCGTTCTTCCACC